GCTCTCATCAAAGTTGTTGATTAGGCTGAGACAGGATCGATGTGTGTTTTGTCGAWGTTGTTTGGTGGAGGAGGAGTTCTTATTTGGTTTCACCATGGTTGATGTGGTATTTTGGTTGTTTTTCTTAAGGGTTGATTAAATTTTGATACACGAAAATCACTTAGTAATAACTGTGCACGAGATTACGTGTACTCTTAGTAGGTATTTTAAGTGTGTATGAAAATTGAATTATAAGATTAAGATTACCGAGCGCGTTCACGAGAATTCCGAAGTTCCGATTAGAACCTCATGTAGAACTGGTAGAGAATCTACATGGGGGTTCTCTATTCCGGACTCGTGCTGACATCTCTATTCTTCGTGAGGTATTCTCGAATAGTATCTTAGACCTCTTACGATCATCAACATGATAGATCGTATGATCTATACATATAAACAGTACCTTACGATAGGTATGTAGGAATGGTATGCTCCTTCATTCCTTTCTACGAAGCTTCGTATCGTACGTATACTTTAGATACAGTAGGTACGTATGCTTTCTTTCCAATATGTACGTATCCTTTCTAGTACGTACGTATCCATTGCAGGGGAAATGACCCATTAAAGGATAGTAAAACCTGTGTAAAATCATTCTGAGACACAGCTGGTCAAGTTTTCAGTGGTAACAATACCACTACTAGTGGTAGTACATAAGAAAAATTAATTGCCCATTGTCTTCCTGCTCAAAGATTGGAGAGTACTAAACCAATTCCAAGGAAAGTCAACCAGCAGTGGTACAACAACAGTGGAGGATATTGACAGTAGTGTCTTGCTGTTGGGAACAGACCACACAATAGAATTGGTTAGGGAAATGGTACTTCCGTCATTTTAGAACTATAGTCCGAGGATGTCTTCTGAGGATGTCATCTGTGTTGGGATGCAGGAAGAAATGTTTGATGTTGTTTGATTGCAACTAATACTCTTGTAGGTTGCCTTACCAAATGGTTGGATCCTGTCACTGTTTTGCCAGAGCACTATCCTCAATCACTTCATCCTGCTATTCATTTTCACCAGAATAAGATTGGCTATTGTCATCTGTTTTCTTTCCACCTTTCCCTTGAGCAGTGAATCATTGACTCTGACCTTCATTCCAGCTCTCATTCCCCAAGTGTTCTAGGGAGTTGTCTAGTGGATTTCTTTCTTACATCTTACATCTCCTTCTGAGAACAGAGCAACAAAAGACCTTCACAGCCACACTCTTTCTCAGAAACAAGCACTGGTGAAACACTATTGGATCATATAGGAAGTCCAAACTCTCTTCACCATAAAAACACAGATGTGTCCATCTCACTCCCAAAGGATCCAAAACCATCCATATCTGAAGCATCTACCTCCTTTCTATTGTATTGCCTCTGAGTATATGAGAAAACAATTTATGTGGGTGTCCACAAATCATCTGGAATATCTGTCTCCAACACACACTCTACTACTATAACCCAGTATTTTTCAACCTTGTCTCATAGTAAAAGTCACTGGTAGGCCAACATTGGGTATTGGTTAGAGCAAACCACTTACTAATACCCACCTTGTTGTAGAACTGAAATTGTTGACTATCAACACAGTGGATGTAATATTGGAAACAAGTTAAATGATTGTGAATATGAGTCAAAAGTCTTGGGGAAGAAGTGGTGGTTGCGCCTGTTTTTTGTCCTACTTCTTGGCACTGCTACAATACAGGGCACTAGCTACTCCTATCTCTGGATGCAAGTAAGTTTTGATGAAACACCTTCTGTTTCAGTGGG